CTCCAGTCATCCAGGACCTCACCTGACCACCTTGACTGTTCAAATATAGTGGAGAGCAGCTCAGCAACCCCCTCAGCCAGCTCCTTCAGAACCCTGGCATGCACACCATCCCGCCCCATAGACCTGTACACATTCAGTCTCATGAGGCGGTCTCGGACTTGCTCTGCCCTTACAGTAGGGGGGATTTACTGCCTCAGTCCCCACCTAGAGGTTTAGGGATGCAGGGCTCAGGGACATGAAAAATACTGGAATCCTGGCTGCCAGTGAAGACCAAGGCAAAGAGCTCATTCAGTACCTCAGCCTTCTCTTTGTCCATTGAAGCCAGTTCTCCTTTTACATTTACCAGAGGAGGTACACTTGTTTTGGCCTGTCTCTTCCGGCCAACGTACCCATAGAATGTCTTCATATTGTTTTTCACATCCCTTGCCAAGTTCAGTTCTGCCTGTGCCTTGACTTTCCTGATCCCATGTCTGCAAGTCTGGATGGTATCCCTGTATTCTTCCCAGGTGACATGCCCTTGTTTCCAGAGCTTATATGCACCTTTCTTTGCTCTCAGTGTTGCCCAGCAGGTCCTTGCCAAGCTGTGCTGGCTTCCTACCTCCTCTAAGGGTTGGAGAGCTCTTGTGCTCTCAGGAAGTCGTCCTTGAAGAGTAGCCAGCTCTCCTCCATGTCTTTGTCTTTAAGGACATCATCCCAGGGGATCTTGGCCAAGAATCCATTGAACAGCTTAAAGTTCACTCTTCTGCAGTTCGAGGTTCTGACCCCACTCTTTGCCAGGCGCACATTCCTCAAGATCACGAACTCGACCAGAGCATGGTCATTGCAGCCCAGGCTGCCTCCAACCTTAACACCTTTAATGATCTCCTCCGCATTGGTGAGCAGCAGGTCCAGCAGCGCTTCACCTTGGTCAGTCTGTCCAATACCTGAACCAGAAAGTTATCATCAGTGGATTCCAGGAGCCTCCTGGACCTCTTGCAGCTCGCTGTGAGGTCTTTGCAAGAGATATCCAGATGGTTGAAGTCCCCCACCAGCACTGTGATAGGCTCACAAGAGCCTGCGAGCATGATGCCTCCTGCATCTGAAGCAAGAAAGCCTCGTCAGCAGTCTCCCCTTGATCAGGGGAGTGTAGGCTTCTTATAGCATTTCTTATGCTGTTAGCTTTCTAAATAGCTAGCTAGTGTTTCATGCGCTATAGTGGGCATTTTTCCAAATACAGAGTAACAGTGTGCACTATTGGACAAACTGAAGAGAAGAAATTCTAAGACCTCCTCTACCTTGCTTAAGTGAGAGACATATGCAGTTTGAACAGGCTTCTCAAACACTCAGCATTAATTGGTAACAGAGACTAGATAAAATCAGCTGAGTTCCCTTAGCCTTTGGCAAATACCTTCACATCTTCAAATTTCACTTAGTGTAATTGTAACAACAGGGTACTGTTATTCAATTCTCAAACGTGGTGTTAACTTCATTACCTTGTGTTTGTACAGTGTTTTAAGCTTCTCATTAGAACATCCACAGAGGTATTTTTGACTAATGAGGGACTATTGCTATTACCTATCACTGCACAAATCCATCTGCATTACATGTAGCCGAAATGGGTCAAATTCTTCTAAATGATAAAAAGTGGGTGTCATAGAAATTCTTGCCATTATGCTGGGAAAAAAAAAAAAAAAAAATAGAAAATCTAAACAGAGCTGGTAAACATCTCACTCACCAGCAGCAGAGTGCTGCAGAGTACAGCCTCATCACGCAGCCTGAGCTGCTGGCCAGGGGGCTCTGCCGACAGTGTGATGGGCTCCAGCCCCTCAACCCACTCCTTCCAGCAGAACCCTCCACAGATACAGTGCTGCCTTCCCCACATAATGGAATGAAAGTGGCCCCAGAGATCTGAATATGCAGTCTACTCAAAACAAAACAAAACAAAACAAAACAAAAATCCTGTATCCAATAAAATGTTTGCTTCTGAAATAGTTCTCTTAAGGACAGTACACTTTCTAAGGTTATCCTTGCTCTCAAGAAGGATGCTTAAGTATCTTTTTCCCAAGAATGGGCTTAAGTAATTTAAATCCTGTACATAGCTAAATATAATAAAATCTTCAAGGGAAAAGAGCCATACCTCCATCTTGCTTCCTCTTCTGCTCCAGTAAGTTATCTTCTAATGACAGTTTAGAAAAAGAAAAAATGTGTTGCCTTTAACAGAATTGCACAAGGAAAGATAGCAGATTAAAGTTGATCTTCTCATATGCAGGGGCTGAAATTTATTTCTGAAAAGATGCTCAAAGGAAAATGTTTTTTATTGTTTTTCAAATGTAACTTTATTTCACATTTAGGAGACAGTCTGCTGTATAATCATATAAGATTAAGTCAGTCTCCCTAATTCTTTTTTGTGTTAGGCATAATAAAAACACACAGTAGAGGTTGTATGGAAATCTAACAGTGGGGCTCATATTATGACAGGACAGCCAGCCATCAGAGTAGTAAGCTGCCATCTGATAGAGCAGAAAGACAGGTCTAAATTTCCCGTATATTTATTTTTCTAGTGGACCAGTCTAATCATTTTCTGAGAAAGTCAAAGCAATCAAATCTATGATTCATTCAAACTGTGGGAAATTGCCTATCAGTTGAGTTTTTTCCATTCCTCCTATTAGGCTTACTGTTGCATCAGAGGATTATCTGACAATGGTCTGACTGATGAAACATGCAAAGTTTTTGTTTACCTCAGTGGAATTCTATGAAATGCCTCAAAATCTCATCTTATTTTAGCAATTTGCTTTACTGACATTCTAGGGCTGGCCTTGCTAGAGTTTTATTCCTGTTCTAATCTTGTTGCTGTTTTTCTGAAAGCTGTATTAACAGCTGTTATCTCATTATGTGTCTCATATGTTGTTATTGGCTCATGCACACACTGGATAAACACTGCTGGAATTTTAATATTTTATTCACTTGTCAATCACCTATGTTGATTCATATAGCCCTCAAAAGAGGGTGCCAGTGCACAGCCAGTGACAGCACTGCACACCGTGCAGACCAGTACCTCATTTATAAATAGCAGTGTTCCATAAAGGAGAGTCTAAATGGATGATAGCCAGCATAAGCTATGCTTATACCTTAGATATGATTACAACCCTATGGGTAGGATGAAATTTTCAGCATTTCATTGAACCTATGTCATTCACCTCAGCAGTTGCCAGCCCGGTGAGATAAAGCCTCTTCTCAATTCTCAGCAGCATTTTACTGCAGGCTATAATCCTCACAGTCACCATACAAAGAATAAAAAGAAAGGTGCACTTTTTAATGTAAAAATCAAAGAAAAATGGCTAGCTTTGCACAGCTTCAGCCAAAGCGAATTGCCATTAGGTAACTGTAGCTCTGTGCACCTTTCTGCTGACCCCCATGATTCTAGGGATCAAAACAGATTAATTATGCACAAGGATATTCATTTTAGGGCCCACACATTTAGGGCCCACAAATTACAATCTAGGGCAAGCTGATAAGACACCCCCTCATCAATTCTTCTGCTCTTTTTTGTAAAATCTATAAAGTTTTGTTTCCACACTCCAACCAATACACAAACTATCTTAAAGTTGTACATAAAAGCACTTGCTACTATGCCAAATCACTAGTATGACATCCTGCCATGAATACAGCAGCTGGTTTCTTGTTCAAATTTATTCTGGGATAGTAGTAAAATTCAGGCTTTTCTTCAGAATGGAATTTCAGACATCTCCTTTTGTTTGTCTAATGAAATCTTCTTTTACCATCACTTTAACCTGTAGTTTTTAGGCAATTATTTCCTTCTCAGCATAAACAAAGTTCTCACTCAGAATACCCAGATTTCACCACTTTTTTTCCTCCTATCTGATAACGTGAGATTATTTCATCATCACACAGTGACTTAGAATAAATGTAACACAATTACAGTTGCTCATGTATTTCATGGTATGTCTTTGCTCAGAGTAAATACTTGTAGAACTGAGAAAACAAAAGTAAACCACCATTGCTATTACTGGATTAACTTTCTCTGAAAAAAATTCCCACCATAAGAGGATAGAAAATAAAAGAGAGTTGTAAAATTTTCAGGAGAAATAGTAACCTTTCAGTCGTGTCTGCACAGATGGAATAAAACTGTATGAGGTTCAAAGGCACAAGTGACTTATTTTTTTCCTGCCTACCTATCAGAAGCAATTGCAACAGCACTAGACTCCACAATATACAGTCTAGTAGGAGAGCAGTACCAAGTGGCAAAGGTCAGAATTAAAGGACGTTGTTCAATGAGTGAGGAAAATATACATCTGCTTGGCAAAGTAAAGTGTTGAAAAAGTAGATTAGAAGAAGAAAAACAATAAAGAGAGAAAAATAGTTTTTGTGAAGTAGGCCTTGAAGAAAAAAAAAACAATGTATTCAAGCTTACACACCACTGAGCTACCAATCTCTTGAGAACATGGAAAACAATTCTCTGGGAAGAAATGAATGCACAGCAGATAGCTACACCACCAGGAGTATAAACTTCTCATTACACCTAATCCATTGCTGCAGAACAAGGAAAGATACACTGACAAAATCTGTGTCCATTAACTACTGCTAAGAGATCTGAAAGAGCTCAGCAAAGCACTGTCTCTGCCACATGTCCATATATGTAGGTTGTAAGTAATGAGTCTTAGCATGGAAATTACAGCAGATACAAAGAATACAATAATACTACTTGATAGATCAAATTCTTAGTTACAAAACACTATTTTCCAACACAGTCATCACCATTAGCTCTATACTTTTGCCAGAGCAAGATCCTGAATGCCACGTGTAAAAATCCGCTCCAGTGCAGGTGACTCAGTGTCACAGCTTCTGCTGCTGAGAGATACTACCCACCCCCTCACTGTGCTGACATCCTTGTTTGGTCTCAATAATTGCTCAAAAAGCGTCAGAGAATTTCAGTGGGTGCCATTTTTTTCACATGGAGGAATTCAGCTCCGCACCTTTGCTTCATACGCACTTCCATGTCAGATGCCATTCTGTCACACTGCTCCTCTGCTGCCACCTGTTGCACAGCAAGAAAATGTAATAAAATACTGGTGGGAAGGTTCACCCTCTACTGCCATACTACCAATATCCGCCTGTGACATCGTGGACCAACATAATAATATAGGAGGTATTATTTTCAGAGTAGCTCTTGCAAGTGTAAAGTGTGTAGCAACCTAAAACTCCCCCACAGAATGAGAGCAGCTGCTGCAAGAAGTGGCACCATGCTTACGAAGTACAGTACATGACATACATGTATCACAGCAGGGCATTCTGCCTGCTGACCTTGCTGTTGAGAATGTCTTCCAATAAAAATTGCATGAATTCAGGTTTCATCTCATACATAGCCTTGTAAACTCCGAACTGCAATCCACCTTCTTTACAGGAGGGATGGTGAGGATCTGGAACAGCTCAGAGAAGCTGTGGATGCCCTGCAGGATCCCTGAAGGTGTTCAAGGCAAGGTTGGATGACACCTTGGGCAGCATGGTGGTGTCTGATGGTGGCAACCCTGCTCATGGCAGGGGGTTGGAAGTAAACAGGCTTTAACATCTTTTCTTACCCAAATGTAATTCTGTAAGCATATTCAACATGGTCATGTTATTGAAGGCTGAAAAGCACACACCTACCCTATGGTAGCAACATGACAGAAAACAGTGGTTTTGAAAGAGTCAGGGTGCTCAGTAAGAGAAGTTACCTGTTCTGTGGACAGCAGTGTGGGTGCGTAAACTTCAAGGAACTGGAATAAAGCCACAGTGGCTCCTTGCTGAAAAAAAATCCTGCAGTTATCTAGTCCTAGAAAAAATCAATTGCCCTTTTTCTGTACTTGCCTCCTAATGGCCAGGGGGAGCACAGTTGTCTTGCTGACTTTTTATGAAAGGGTTTCATTACACTTTCACATTTAAATAGTTAGTTTTCAAATATAAATATTTCTCATTAATGATTCACAAATTCACTATATCACTTTGGCTTTCTAATCAGTTATAATGATGTTTGTTTCTTTTAAAAGGACTTGTTATCACAAGTGGGAGGATGTCAGCAAAACAATGGAGCCAAGGCTGATTCTCTCCTTCCTAGAAGAGGAAAAGAGTTTCCTTTGATATATTTGTTGAAGTTTATAACAGAGTAGGAATACACAGGAATAAATTGAGAAATATTACGTTGTTCACCAGCTCTGCATCTATAATCTGTAATCAAGCAGCATCAGGTAAACCTGAATCACAAAAAGGCCCAGATGGCAGGACCCAAATACATACAGCACAGCTACTGAAAAAGGTAGACATTCTGAAAATTTAATTCAGTAAAATTTTAAGCAGCTTGAGCACTGCTCCTAAATACAAGAGGCTTGATTTGTTCCATCTCACAGAAGACATCTAAAAGGATCAAGAGTACATATTTAATTCTTTTCTTTCCTTTTTTTCTTTCAAGAAAAGAAAATCACTTACTTGAAATGTTCACTTTGGAGAAGATCGCTGTTTCATGTTTATGTGTGCTTCTTGACTCTAATGATATTTCTGAGTTTGAACAGTCAGTGTTTCTCTTGTTTCTGCCATTTGTAGATATCATTATGATTTGTTTAGTAATGATCACAAGATAAAATTTATACTAAAAAAAAGACTGCAGTTTTTAATAGTGGGAAAAAAAAAACAAAAACAAACAAACAAACAAACAAAAAAAAAAAAAACAGAGAGAAATATCCAGGTTGACATCAGAGTTTGACAAGATTTCCTTCAGCTCACCAATAAAACATGAGAACATTCCAAACGCAAACATACTGCTTCACCATTTCTTTATAGATGCTGAGAAAAGAAAGAGAGGGCTGAGAACAGAGCTACATTCCATGTGTTTGTTCAGTCTCACTGCAGATGCTTATTACCATGCATAGCTGAAATGAAGATTAGCAGAAGTTCTGGAATCCTTGCAATGTTAACTCAATATTATACTGTGCTTATTGTTTCTTCAACTAACCTTATCACTTATTAACCTTATCATCATCTTCAACAAACAGCAATCCATGCAAATTTGCAATTAATATTTGCCAATTAAAAAAATATTGAGCAATCTGGTTTTGTCCAGTAGGTGTTTCATGCATTGAAGTTTAAAAGCTTATCTGTATTTCAGATTAACGGCATTGGCTTTATTTTATGGCAGCTACATGCAGGCATTTGCAAAAATAAATTACTGCAGGAGTGCAATCTAATAATTTTGTCATGTCAGAACAGGTGGATATAGTCACTTTTAAATATATACTGTTATATTGCTTAAACTTGGATAATAAGGGACAGAGCAGAATTCCTGAGACAATGTTAACACTTTTGGTAAAAGTCTGTCAATGAGCCATCATCTGAATCAGAAATTGTTTTATATTCTTTTTATTAACTCATCAAAACAATTTATTGCTATTAATGCTGACATGCTACACCCAGACTAGATGAGATTTATTACAAAATAAACTTATGAAGTGCTCCAGATAAAAGAGAAAACTAGCTTATCATGTCACATGAATTTGTCACTTATTAACTGATTTTAAACTCCAGCCAGAGCTGTAATCAGACCAGAAGTGCATTTCCCACTTCAGTGAAAGGCTGTGCATTTGAAGGATCACTACATACCAACCAGAAGTTGCCTGACTCTGCAGTTAGCTCCATTAAAATGATGAGAGAAGGGAATTCTCCAGATGATTCCATTTTTGAAATGCAGAGCAGCTTCGGAAAGTCAAGCAGCAGCCCTCCAGCCAGCCCTACGGAGAGTTCTGGATCAGTATTTCTAAGGTAAATTCAGAGATTTTTGACTGCTCTATGCATACTAGATGCTGGGATGGAGAGTGCAGCAGCACAGTGGGGCACCGGCACAAAGAGACAAACACAATGGCTAAAATGCCTGTTAATTTTTGAAGGCAATGCATGCAGAGATGATCATACAACTTGGCATTGCTGAAAAATGAGAGTAATAGTGAGTATAAATGGGAGATTTGTAAGAAAAGACAGAACAGTGTTGTTTTCTCTTTGTGTAACTATTACACTCATTTAGGGCTTTGAATGTGTACAGTACACTAATACACACAAGTCTTAAAATGACCTCTGCAGAGTCTAGGCTAGGACACAAATTGAGAAAATGTTTTCATGTGTGTTTTGGCCTATAGCTCACACAAGGTGAGATTGCTACAGGGTTTTATGATAGAAAAATCACAAAAAAAAAGTTTCAAGATGAAATCTCTTTTCTTTGAAGTGTGGAGCTGCTTGATTGTGGACTTACAGCTGCCCTTGGTAAGGCAGGAAGATTTCTTGGAAGATTTCTGGACAAATCATGCATATTTTCTGACAGCATGGATAAGTGTGGAAATGTAGTTTCAAAGCATTACTAGCGCATACCTATGTGATTTGCAGGGATCACCTCTAGACATTGTCTGTGTGATTAAATCATATTTCTTTGTAGCAGGGTCATGGATCATATTACTAATTAGCTAACAAGTAAAAATAAGTCTGTTGGCCTCGTTTTTTCATCGTGTGAAATGTTTTGGCAGCTTTTTAAGACTGTATCTGTATGTCTTTCTTTCCAACCTAACTGCCCATCAGTCTGAACAAAGAGTAAGTAACCAGAAATTCAGTTAATTGGATGTCGTGAGAGCTCTTACCCAGAAGTAATTACTTAAAGCCTGCTTTTTGAAAAAACATCCACATGGCTCTTCGTATGCCTCTCCAGATTCATCTTGCAATTCGGCATCAAACATAAGTACACGCAGTGCTGGAGGGAGAGATCAACACAAGTTGGTGCTATTAAACTGTTTGCAATTCAGGCAATAAGAATTTTATACTCTTTCCTCTCTCCAGCATGGAACGCCAAGCAGACACTTACCCACTTTTTATTTATCATTAGATAACATACAAAGCTATAAGTACTCGGATAACAATGTGATGAATCCATAAAAAGAGCAGAGTCCTTTTACTTCTGTTTCTCAGTAATCAAGCTGTCTTCCAAGTAGAAAGTGGCAGGATTAAGACCTAGATATCCAGTTTATTCAATCGCTGCTCCAGTAAGAAGGAATCGTTGGGATCTGGTGTGAAACAATACCTCCAACAGTAGCGAATACAGAATAACAGGATGTAAATACAAGTCTGTCTAATAAGAAACATGCATGATTGTACACTGTGAGTTCAACAGCTCTACTGTTCTCACTGAACTTGCATTTCATGTGCTTGTCACAGTCACAATTTGCTTATCCAAGACAGGGTGCATGAAAAATCAGGGAAACTACTCTTCAGAAAAAGAAATTTGGGTTTTCAGTTGATATTTTCAATACAATCCTACTCACTGAGGAGATATTTCCCAAAACTAAGATGTATTCACAGAGACTATTTTCTGTATTAATGATTGCTCCTTTTCATCCTAATTATTCATGCCTGAGGCCCCAAACTGACTATATACCTAGGTTTTTATACACTTCTCTTTTCACTTCACTGTAATTGGCACCATGCAGATGAACATGAATTTGTCTGAATTCAGGAAGTTATTAACATTTCAGACAGGGAAGCTCACAGCTTATCACCATGGCAGCATGTTATTTCTGACACTGAGAGGAACTGATTTCAGAAGCAAATTAAGACTCTGGAGCTGTAGCTGAGGTGTCACCCACGCATAATTGTTTAGAGATTTGAACACACATATGAAGCATTTTATCACTATGAATGTACTGAGTTGTTCTGACATCTGAACAAAAAACTTCCCAGTATTCTAGGACAAAACATTGAACAAAAAAAGGAAAGAAAAAAGAAATCTCAACCACTGCAACCCATCTCTATAGTGCAAGCCACTATCCTGCATCAGATCTTCTAAATTTTTTTAAAAACTTTCAGTCTTGTAGTGCTGACCAATCTTCAGAATGACCCTGAAAAAAACACATCAAACATGAGGAAATCAGAATCAGTTTTATCAGAACTACAGACAAAAAGTTCTGTGAGCATTAGTGAGCAGCAACGTTGAAAAATAAGAAAAAAAAGTATTGCATGGAGAAGCTAAGTTTTCTAAGGGCACAGTGATGGAAATGGATGTCAAAAAATGTCCTCAACATTGCTCCTGGTAGGTTGTCTTATTAAATCAATTAAACACTGTCCTCGTGTTTGCTGGCTGTGATTGGGCATTAATAACTTGCCTATTGCAGAATAAGAAAAAAAATGTTTAACAGCTTGCAACATAAAATGCATACATCATAAATGATGAATGTGTAAACGCATCTATATCCCTTCAAAGAGGTATCAGTGTATATATCTTTACAACACGCTGATTCAGTTGTATACATGTAATCAGATTATTCATTGGACACATAAATTGGTGCCTCAGATTGAAAACTGTTTGGTGCACTTTGTTTGAAAATGTTGTCCCCGTGATCTATGCCCAGAGCCACTTGGATGACATTCAGGAGGCAGTAATGCCTCCTATTTAAGTGCATGGAAACTACGACAGATACAAAGAGCACAATAATGCTACTTGATAGAACAAATTCTTGCCTACAAAACATTATTTTTCAACAATGTTATATATGAGCTTGATTCTTTTGAAATAATGCATCAATGTCTCATTTAACATCAATGATTGCAATTCTGAGTAGGTTCTCAAGGCACAAGTAAAGATTTTTGATGAAATTTTACTCTTCCGGTACTTCATCCTTGAGAACTATTGTTCACAAGTATACATACTGCCAAAAAGCAATGGCATGAATAAGTTGTGATTGTTAAGTGAGGAATATTACTCTTCTCTAAGAGAGGTCTTACAAAGATTTGGTGAAGACACATGATCAATTCTTGAGTTGAATATCTGATACCAATTCTTTGCATTCCATTTGAAAATTCACAGGTAAGATATTTATGTTGACTAAAAATGTTGACTATTTATGTTGACAAGTATACTACATACATATATACAGCAGTCTTAAAGCTTATTTTCAAACTCCTTTGTCTAAACAGAAAGCAAGACCGAATACTCTCCCCTGTTTACAGGGCTGTATTTAGGCAATTATCAGAATGCACAGTTGCCATAAATTTATTGTTGCATTGCACCATCCCCATGTCCTGATTTCAGGCCATACCAATCACACACTGATGTGACAGTTTCTGAGCAGTGGGTGCATGCCTGGGGTCAGGCCAGGCTGCTAACTGGGGAAGAGTCACCTCCATGATGGTGCATTAATACACTTAATGCACTTTCCTTTCTTGCATTGTGTAAGTATGCAGTGTATATCCTGCAGCTCTTCACAGTCTGTTGTATGAAGGGCATGGGAATCACAATGGAAGTAAATGTGTTGATGGAGTACATGTAAAATGTGTCACATATTCACTATGAGGGAGGCTGGCACCACATCATTAACACTCCATAAATTTTGTGAGAGAATCTCTCTCCTTTTCTTTCTGGATGCTACAGTGTATAATCGCAGTGTAGTCTGTTGCATTCATTTGCCTCAGAATTCAGTCACAACAGCCTCAGCACTCCTCACACAGTTTGTGATGAGAAATTCTCCATCTCTGAATCCAGTCTACTTTACATGCCTTATACATCCACCTCTATGTCGAAAGGGTAATACAACCTCTGCAGTAAGCCAGGCTCCTTTCAACAACAACAGAAACTGATAAGTAGACGGAATTCTAGCAAAAAGATAAGGTGAAACCTATCATCTGGTTTAGGTCTCTATAAAGCAATCTCCCACTTCTAAAAATGAATAAATTGCTAAAATACTAATCCAGGTAGGGAACAGAGTGGTCAGGTGGTCAAAACATTGCAATTGGGAGAGTGAATGGTGATCCAGAAATTTTGTTTCTCTGTGATTTTGTATGTAACTTAAGTTATTTTTGTACAATAACAGCTTTTCATACTACTTCAACTCTACTTTTTCATCCTTTATTGTTTCGCCCTTTTCATCTTCATTATTTCACCCTTTAATATAGACTTTTCAGGGCAGGAACAGTAAAAGATCCTTCACAGTTTTGTTTTTTTTTTTTTTTTGCATATGTAAGATTCACTGTGCCTTACTAAATAAAAACAACGTTCTTGATCATATTCCACCCACATAAAGAGCTGCACACTATTCAGTATTGTTTAATATAACACATTCAGAATCTTGTTACACTGGAATGCATTATTTTGTTCTGGAGTTGCTGCACCATGCACATTTTGATGAAGCTTGGCCACTTTTTCAAACCCTCAAAAAAGAACAAGCTAGAGCAGCCCTTATTACTTCCACTGACATTAACAGAAGGTAATAGGAAAGAGACACTAAAGAATTGAAACTATGCCAGAACCAAGGCTCTGACAAGAGTAAAGATATCATTATGTGCCACCAAGTATTATTCATTTCTAATGCCTAGGCAGCACGCATCTATTTATTTCAATGTAACTTTCTTTTCACAGCAAATACCTTGGCTATTCAATACAGAATGCTTTGCATACCTCAGTAACAGAGCCGGTCAAAACTAGAGCAGAGACAAAGCTCCAGGAGACAAGAGATTTCTTCCTTTTCTTATGTCACCATGTTGAGGAATTAGTCTCTGGAATGAGCAAAACAGGCAGCAGTAGCATTTCTCTCACGCAGCTAAATCTGTCAGAGATTGAAAATCAAAGCACTCAGAAGGTGACTGATTTCTTTTTATTCAAATATTTGGATGTCAGATTCTCACAACAGTGTAAATCAGCATTATACTGCTGGAGGGAGCAGAACAACACAAGAGGACTAAAATAGCAACTGATGCATTTTTAGAGCATCCCAGTAATGAAAAGCCTTCAAAAACAAGACAGAGGGCAGGCAGTCACTTTTCCTAATGATTCCAGACATACCGTGTACACCATGGTAGCACTAGGGAACTCAAGGCCTCACGCAGGCTGCTGAACCCAAGCAAAGGATCTTGGGTTCTAGCAGATGTGGGAAGACAACCCTATTTATAAGTAAGTTCCTGCTCTATTTGTTGCCCAAATGGCTGAAGTGAGACCTACTCTGTCATCCTTTCCATGAATGGGACTCAGCTCTGCAAAGCTCTGCAGGCAGTGCTAAGTTTGCTCAGGTACTGAGTAGGACAGCATGAGGCAGTTTCACAGGTACAGGACGTAACAGGTGTGGATGATGTTCTCTACAACATACAGGTCATTGTTTTCCACATAGGCCTTGATTTTTACACTGCATAATGCAAAAATATTAGTTAATGATTTATCCCAGAAAATAACCTATTTTAAGTTCCTTCCTTTCTGCACACTTGTCACGTATTCTTTACAGCTGATTAGACTGGAGATAAAACACATCCAATCTAGCTAAGACCGTTCAATCCCATTTTCTGCAGGCTCTGTGCACCCAATCAATTGCAGCACTCTTGAGCCTTTTAACCTTTAACTGTTGTTTCCTCTTAGTGAGTTCCCAAATATAGTGCAACATTTCTTAATACTGAGCTCCTCCTCTTTTATGCTGTGCAAGCATCAAGCAATGCACAAATCTTAGTAGTGCCACTGAAACACGTATTTGCATCTATATCCCATCCTAATATCCACAGAGAACACTGCCACATATATATTTTGCCCATAAATTCCAGTGAAGTCTGGTAGCTACAAAGAAAACTTCGTAGTGATTATTAACTCAAGGATATATTCTAAGATGTTAAGTCATGAATACTGACCCTAGCTTAGAGATGCTACTTTGGCCTTTCTGAGGTCACTTTCCTAAAACCACAGGCTCTTTCTGCGTGATGATGTTTCATGAGACTAGCATCCCCCCACATTGAACAGCCACCCAACCGTTCATCACGTAATGAGAGCATTTCCCTTATATGTACACTCATGTTTTGTGCTCGTCATGCAAAGTATTTTGCACCAAAATGCTGCCAGTTGGCAGCTGTGTCTGTGCAAATATTCCCTTACAACCTGGCAAGCACCGAGTGCAGGAACACGTTAGATTTCTTCTATTGTAGCCCACTTTCCCACTGACGACCAACCAGCCCGGGGTGGTGCAGAAGAGAAAGAGAGCAGAAAATCCTCCAAAGCCCCGGAAAGGTGGACGGGGCTCACGGCCAGCGAAGCCCCCATTGGGGTGGCGGGGATGGCAAGTGGATGACAGAGCCCACGTACGAGAGCTTCCAACCTCCGCTGCGTGCAAAGACGCTTCTCTGCTGCCCTCGCATAAAGGCGCTCTTTTGCCCGAACAGCACCTCGCGCTGCAGCGTCCCGCCGCAAAACCGAGGCCACAGAGGCTCCGCGACCAGCTTCACCACTAGGCGCAGGGGGAACCGTTTTAAGCAAAGCTTCCTTCGCGCTCCGCCCCCGGCTCCGCGCTCCGGCTCCACGGCGGCGGGGCCCGCCCCGGGGCGGGAGCAGCAGCGGCGCGGTCCGTCCCGTCCCGCCGCGGCGGCGGAGGGTCGCGCAGTGCGGTGCCGATGGTGCTCATGCCGGAGCAGCGCTGCGATGCGGAGGAGTGGAAGGCTGGGCGGCAGGCCGGCCGCCGGGAGCACAGGAGCGCTCTGCATCTGTGAGTAGGGCCAGGCGCGCGGACCCGGAGGGGCGGCCGGGGGGCTGGGGGTCCGTGCGCGTTGGCTGTGGTGCGAAGTTGAGGGGAAAGTGGTGAAGAGCGTCGCGCCGAAGCGCGGCCGCTATCCGCGGCGGTTTCCGGCAGATCGCGGAGTTGTGCTCCGCTCCTCCGGAAGCCTTCAACTGTGCCAAAAAGTGCTCGTGGCGAGCGGGGCCGGGCTTGAACCCAGTAAAAGTGCTCCGGGGGGAGGGAGAACGGGCTGGCTGTCAAAGGGCACCGAGCAGCGCGAGGCGGGGAGTCCAGGGGCCGTAGCTTTTTCGTAAAAGAGGAAGCTTTTTCAAGAGGAAGAGTGAGAGAATGAGGGAAGAAATCATTACTTGCTCCTAATATTCTTCCCCCCTAAGTATTTTTCTTCAAACAGTTGTAATCTCCTGGAAAAAAAATAAAGAAAAAAGAAAAAAAAGAAAGAAAAAGGAGAACAAACTACTAGCAACAAGTTCCCTTTCTAGAGGGAAAGTCTGCAAAGTTCTGTGTTTTTTTTTTTGTTGGCAGCTGTATCCCCACTCTTTGAGTAGTTGTATTCCCAAAGTTTCTATCGCAGTTGCAAAAAATAACTTGCCTGTCAGAGAGCAGCAATATTCAAAGCTTATTCTAAGTGTCCAATGTCCTGTGTGGCCACATTAGTGACTTCACATGGGAGGTGTAGCTCCATGGCCTCTAGAACCTTTTGACTTCCAGTCTTGTGTCCTTATCCCCACATGGAAATATGGCAACCTCATGAAGTTATTCAGGCGTTCAAAATTTGTGTCTGATTCTGCACTTAGGGCCAGGTGCACCAGACAGCATAGAAAAAAAGGTAATGTCAGAGCTGCTACACGATGCTCTGTTTTGTCCCATCTTTGAGAGGTGAATCTAGTGTAGTTTTAGAGGTAAGTCTTAACCAGCGTGATAAATGTTGAAAACTCCTGTTTAACATCTCTGGTATGAGGAAAGATCGAGTAACCTGGATATGGTTCTGGGGAAAAAAAAAGAGAGGATCTGATTGATGTTTATAAATATCTAAAGGGAGGCCAGAGGCAATTGGATAAGGTCAGGCTCTTCTCTGTGGTCCCCAGCAATAGGAGGAGGAACAATGGCCTAAAACTTGAACATAGGGTTTTCCATACTAACGTGCAGAGGAGCTTTTTTTACAGTAAGGGTGACAGAGCACTGGAACGGGCTGCCCAGAGAGGTTGTGGAGTCTCCTTCTATGGAGATATTTAAGAGCTCTCTGAAGCTCCTGTGCAACCTATTGTAGGGAACCTGCTTTAGCAGGGAGGTTGGATTCAGTGATCTCTTGAGGTCCCTTCCAACCCCTGAAATTCTGTGATTCCTAGCCATCAGTTTTTGTACCTACACCTAGAAAGTAGCATCTTTGTTTTTTGTTCTGCAGGCTACAGAATGTTGAGTAATGCTGGCCTGGGCAACAGGAGAATGAAAGTATTGAGGTAGCAGAAAATGTTGAAATACTAAATTAGAAAATTGTGTTAGTATGTAGTGACTGGAATCAAAGTTGGAATGTATTTACCAATCCTATTTTAACTGATAAGTGAATCCCCAAAGAAGTGCTGTGTTAGTTTGGCTCTGAGTTAATGTCAAAAGCAAAGTAACATTGGTTTGACTGAAGTGCAACTATGAGGCAATTGTTCAGCTGAAGAACAAAGACAGAATCTTGGTCTTGATTCTCTCAGAGGTGAGCTAGCAGAAAATTGAATTGCTGAAGGTTTGTTTCTTTAAAAAAACAAACAACAACAAAAAAAACACCAAAAATAAGCACATGCATGTTGGGATGGAGGGAGTGTTCTTTCACTTCATGTAAAGCCAGGGAACAGTGTACTACCAGCAGGGCTTGTGCTGGCTTCTTGAAAAAAATTCCATTGGAGTGGCTGAGGACCACGGAATCTTAACATTTTCCAAAGCACAAGAGATTTATGTGCATGGATTCCTGTACTTCCTGAAGATATGCTTGAAATATTGTTCTGTTTAGAGATGGACTTTATAGCTCAAAATGCTTCTGCAGCCTTAGTGGTTTCCCGGGTACTCCTGTTGGATTGAAGCTGTAGAAGTTTTTATTGTAGTTAATTGATTTAAAGATTTAATCTGAGATTATATTAATCTGCTCCATGATTCAGGAAACTTGCACAGGAAAATTTGAACATGTTTCAACTGATTTAGGAAATGGGATTCTCTGGCATATCTAGAAATAGGCTCATAGTCTCTACAAAGCTTGCATGACACTTGCCGGATAAAATACCCCAGTGGTTTCACTGGACAGAAGATGTGTGCTGTTATTCACACACAGAGTAGTGTTGTGCCAAAACTTTGTTGTTAAGTGGAAATCTTTGCAAGTGAACTGTAAGTTGCTGGGCAGAAAACACTTCCAAGCAGTCACCAGTACCTGTTGTATCCTAACATGGATAGCTGGTGTGTGGTCCAGCACCAGAAAGGAATTAACTGTTGCATTGTATAGGATAGAGGTTTGTTTCTCTGACTTGCAGGTGGGGTGTATTCTTGGGACACTTGTGATGTTGCTCTAAGAGGCTGGAAGCCTCACTGCATGGACTGCTGTTGAAACAGAAGTTGTGTCACAGGAAACGGGGCCATGCATGACGGAGAAATGGCAGCGATGTACTGACATGTGGTGCATATTCAGTGTCAGCATCTTTGTTTTTTCACATGTATTTGTTTATGTTGTGTCAGGACAGAAATTTTTGGATTCCACAAGCAGTATTTATCCTGAGACCATTAAATCTGTCTGCACTTAAGGCAGTGCACTGAATTACTGAATGGTAAGGTGTTGCTAACGTTAAATGGAGCGATGTTGCAGGCACAAGGTGGCATCCGGCTACTGAGTATAACTTAAGCAAATGAGGAGCTGAGACTTACAACACTGAAAGATTTGGAAACTTTTCCTTTTTTTTTTTCTTTGAACAGAATAGGGTCCTGAGGAACATGTACTACTGAAAGCAGTGGAAAATGCTTATACTCAAATTATGTACTTCTCAGAAAAGAGAGAATGTGATTTTTATGGTGCTTTTCTCTGTATTGTGCTGCAATAACAGATGTTAGCTCAAAACTACTTACCAACTGATAAGTGAAAAGTTTTTTTATTGGTTGACCTGTGCATAAACACAACTCATTAACCTTTAACTACATTACTTCAAGTATAAAAAGGACAGAGGTAAGTGATGATTGTTCAGTACTCATTAGAAGTTGTAAGCTCTGATCCAGATCCTTTCCAGCAGTTAAACTCCTACTATGTGTTTGTTACATGTGGTCTTTTTATTATTATTATTGGTTGTTTGTTTTTCAAGGACTGCAGGGCACTGTAGGTGTGTGCCTACATACATGTTCTACACTAAATGGCACAATGCATCTTATTTTTTTAATTCTTCCCTGTTAGTTCTTTCTTATTCTTTGTACTATCATTTGCATTGTATGACCTGAAAATAAGGTTACGACTGTAAAGGGAAACATTTCAATTTCAGATGTGACATAATAGAGTTTTCTGGTCTGGACATTATTTTTTTGTTCATAATTGTTTTTAATTGGTCCTTTTTTTTTCCCTATTATTATTTTGTTCATGTATATACATGCTAAAGTTACAAGGCAACTTTTCTTTAAAAAAACAAACAAACAACAAACAAGTGCCATGTTTAAGTGCATTTAACTTGTGTGCATGTTTAAGTATCTCATGAATCTGAACTGATGTTTTCTTTGTACCAAAGTGCATCACTGATCAGCCTGAAATGCTCCCAAATGTGCTGCCCTTTACTCTTTATTTGTGGTCTATGAGAACTGCTTCTTGGCCACTTAATACTCTTTGCAGATAAGCATTAGGCACTGGGATTGATTGCTGGTGTTTGACAGGTGATACCATGCTTACTGATACCACTGCTGGGACCAATAGTCTTCATGTTCTGTACATGGTAGTTGCCACAACTGTATACTACACTGGTTAACTGGAAAACTTATACCCACATCATCTCAACTAGACTGGGATAAAAGAAGTAAACTTGCAGTGTTAGAGCTAGTTCTGTGTTTTCACTGTGTCTTGAAGCAGATGATAAAACCTTCAGCCCTCAAGTAAAATTTTACCTGGAACAGACGTTCTTCAGCCTCTGTCCTTGAAAAATAACATGCTAAGGTGAGGACGGTTAGTAAGCTTCCAGAAAAACTAGCAGGAAATAATGTGGAAGTTACAGGTGGGCAGCAGGGAAACTCAGCAGGACAGAGGATGTACAGATAGAATGAAGCGTTCCTCCTCTCAGGTAGAAAATGTCTGGATATTTCACTGTGAAACAGTAGTTCCTGATAACCCCCAAGAGTCAGTCCTTCCTAGGTATACTGTAGACATCCATTCCTATGGGCAGTTCAGTGATTGAGCTGTCTGGCAATCTTGGCATGGAAGAAATGCTAAGTTTGAGACAACTGGTGCAAATATTGGCAGACAAATTGGTACAGTTATACCTTGGTAAACCCACATAGTCTCTTCTTGGGAAAGCTGCTCTGGCACCCTTTTTCCTTAAAGTGTGATTTTTAACACAATTGGAAAGGAAATCTTGCAAGCCATTAATGCGTGCCTCATTAGACTTGTTTAGAGGCCTAGTTTCTGCTTCCTTCCTCCTTCCTAGTTTACTAATACATTCTTTTGCCTTACTTCTCGTTATTTTTTTTTTTAGTTTAGCCTATCTATTAAACAGACCACCTGTAGTTCTTGAGGACAATTTTGTAATTACAACTTATTCTGCACTAGTTGAAGTTTTGTTTGGCTTTCTTCTGGACAAGAAGCAATGTTATAGTACAAAAGTCTAAAGTGTAATGAAATTTTATATTTGTCCTTTAGATCTTCAGAAATCTTTGAGTCCATGTAAATTTGCTAAGCCCAGCATAGGAAGGACTGATTATTGCCCTCCAGAATGGCATGTAGACCATGAAAAAGCTCAGTAAAATGAAGATTT